TCGCCAGGAGAATCTTGGGGTGGCCTGGAGCAGCCATGATTTGAGGTTCACCCCCCCCCCCCGTTGGTTGTTTGGTGACGCGGCTGGGCCCCTTACCAGACAGTAAACAGGAGACAGAGACAAAAGGCCAAACAACGAAAGACAACACATAACACTCAAGCCATTTTGGCTCAAGCCATTTTGGCTCAAGCCATTTTGGCTCAAGCGGGGCCGGCCCCGAGTGCCCAGCCCAGAGGGGGCATTGCTGCGCACTCCGCCTGAACGTACCTCCGCAGTCGGCCGGCATGTGCGGCTGCTGAGGCCCGCAGGCTGCTGCCCCGGCGCCGGTAGCCTGCAGGAGGCGCGCCGGCGCTTCCCAGCGCACGCGGCGACGGCGCAGTCCGCCGCGGCGCCGCCTGGGCGCTGGGTCAACATCTGGGTCCCCGACGGCTTCGCAGTGTGGCTGGGGCCCCTGCCAGTAGTCCATGGGACCTCCCACTGCACTGGCCCACCTTGCTCGCCAGATCCAGCTGGTGACGTTTCGCCTGGACCAGTCCGTGGACCCGGACCGGACGGGCGTGCTGCAGCGCGAGCTACAGGACCTTCAGCTCCAACGGGAGAGTTTTGCGAGGCCTCCATCTCCGAGTCCGCCCCCAACACTTGCGGCACCTACAACCGGGGGCCGTACTACGAGCCGATCCCGATCGCGCAGCCCTGCGTCGGCGACGCCGACAGGGACGCAGCAGGACCCCAGGGCGCAGCCGAGGCTCCCGGAGGTCGACCTGGCGATGCCAGAAGCGGCGGCCCAGCCCCGCGAGCCGCTCCAGCGGCCCCGTCGGGCTGGCACAGCGGCCCGGCCCCGCGAACCGTTTCAGAGGCCCCGTCGCCCGTTGTCGCGGCCGATAGCGAGAGCGGGGGCGCCTCCCATGGCGATGAAGGGCACGAGGGCCCCGCCGGCGGAGTCAAGGGCCCCCGGCAGGGCGGAGGCGACATCGAGTCGGCCTCAGCCGCCCCCGGCACGCGCCCTGGCGGACCCCCCGCGATGGGCGCCGACAGCAGCGGTGACCCCCTCGGGTGCACCGAGGCCCCTGGGACCTCGCCTGCCTCTGCACCCGCCGCCACGGCCCCGACCGCTCCAGCCGAGCACGCCGCCGCGGCGCCAAAGACCGATAGGCCCCGCGAAGTGGGTTGCCTCGCAGAGACCCCGGGCGCCAGCCTAGACCATCCCGCACGACTTCCTTCCCCAGACCTTCGTGGCGATGCTGGCCGGAGTGGAAGCCCAGCAGGGGGCCCCAACGATGCGGATGAGGAGCAGCATGCGCGGTGTCCCACGCCCGCGGGTGCCCTCGTCCAGTGCATAACGGAACACACACGGTTCCCGCTGCCCGCGTTGGTGATTGCCGATGACAGCCATGATGCCGTTTCTGTCACCGTCACGCTGCAGGAGTACCACACGGTTGCATGGGTGGCCAAGCACGCGCGGCGCAGACGCGCTATCTCAGCGAAGCCGCCCAAGAAACTGGGGGCGCGGATGATGAGCAAGATGCCTAGCGGAGACACCCGCATCATTGAGGACCAATCTGTTTTCGTCGGGGACGCCGTGAGGAGCATGGACCCCAACTCGACGGTCTTCTTCGTGGTGGGCCTCCCCAAGGCGTTAGAGGACATGCGACAGGCGTACCAGGGCACATTAGGCGCCTTGGACTAATTCAGCTTTGGATGCGTGCGCCGCCTCCACCTATAGAGCCGGCTGTGGTTGCGGGTGGAGCGCGCGCCAGCACCCCGTCCAACGCCAAGGGGGCGTTGCGACGACTGCCGCATTTTTTAGCATCGTGTGTTGTCACCTTTAGAACCGCATGTGGTTGGAGGTTGGCCGCGCGCGATCGTTTTTAGCTCCCTGCTCCTTTGGCATTGCACTTGAGAGGCGTCCCAACCGCGGTCTTCTCCAGTGTCGCAGCGCAAATTTGTTACGACGATTTGCTCTGCTTCGCCTGCCGCGGCACTCTGCGTGAGCAGCACGCCGTGCACCCGCTATTAGAGCCGTCCTCACAGCTTAGTTCACTTTTGACTGCCAGTCGTTGATGAATAATCTGCGATGTGATGCAACGTGGCTGGCATAGACGCCTTGCGTAGCGGTCACTCCCACGTCCTCGCACTTTTGCCTGCCTAGAGGCCGCCCGCGCACTTGCGAGGCCTATCCTGGCACATGCGTGCTGCCGTGAAGTGCTGTTCTTGAGATTACAAATCCTTGGCATATATATGTATATATATATATATATACATACATACATACATACGTATGCCCGTAGCCATTTTGGCTCAAGGCTCAAGCGGGGCCGGCCCCGAGTGCCCAGCCCAGAGGGGGCATTGCTGCGCACTCCGCCTGAACGTACCTCCGCAGTCGGCCGGCACGCGCGGCTGCTGAGGCCCGCAGGCTGCTGCCCTGGCGCCGGTAGCCTGCAGGAGGCGCGCCGGCGCTTCCCAGCGCACGCGGCGACGGCGCAGTCCGCCGCGGCGCCGCCTGGGCGCTGGGTCAACATCTGGGTCCCCGACGGCTTCGCAGCGTGGCTGGGGCCCCTGCCAGTAGTCCATGGGACCTCCCACTGCACTGGCCCACCTTGCTCGCCAGATCCAGCTGGCGACGCTTCGCCTGGACCAGTCCGTGGACCCGGACCGGACGCGCGCGCTGCAGCGCGAGCTACAGGACCTCCAGCTCCAACGGGAGAGTTTTGCGAGGGCTCCATCTCCGAGTCCGCCCCCAACACGTGCGGCACCTACAACCGGGGGCCGTGCTACGAGCCGATCCCGATCGCGCAGCCCTGCGTCGGCGACGCCGACAGGGACGCAGCAAGACCCCAGGGCGCAGCGGAGGCTCCCGGAGGTCGACCTGGCGATGCCGGAAGCGGCAGCCCAGCCCCGCGAGCCGCTCCAGCGGCCCCGTCGGGCTGGCACAGCGGCCCGGCCCCGCGAACCGCTTCAGAGGCCCCGTCGCCCGTTGTCGCGGCCGATAGCGAGAGCGGGGGCGCCTCCCATGGCGACGAGGGGCACGAGGGCCCCGCCGGCGGAGTCCAGGGCCCCCGGCAGGGCGGAAGCGACATCGAGTCGGCCTCAGCCGTCCCCGGCACGCGCCCTGGCGGACCCCCCGCGATGGGCGCCGACAGCAGCGGTGACCCCCTCGGATGCACCGAGGCCCCTGGGACCTCGCCTGCCTCTGCACCCGCCGCCACGGCCCCGACCGCTCCAGCCGAGCACGCCGCCGCGGCGCCAAAGACCGATAGGCCCCGCGAAGTGGATTGCCTCGCAGAGACCCCGGGCGCCAGCCTAGACCATCCCGCACGACTTCCTCCCCCAGACCTTCGCGGCGATGCTGGCCGGAGTGGAAGCCCAGCAGGGGGCCCCAACGATGCGGATGAGGAGCAGCATGCGCGGTGTCCCACGCCCGCGGGTGCCCTCGTCCAGTGCATAACGGAACACACACGGTTCCCGCTGCCCGCGTTGGTGATTGCCGATGACAGCCATGATGCCGTTTCTGTCACCGTCACGCTGCAGGAGTACCACACGGTTGCATGGGCGGCCAAGCACGCGCGGCGCAGACGCGCTATCTCAGCGAAGCCGCCCAAGAAACTGGGGGCGTGGATGATGAGCAAGATGCCTAGCGGAGACACCCGCATCGTTGAGGACCAATCTGTTCTCGTCGGGGACGCCGCGAGCAGCATGGACCCCAACTCGACGGTTTTCTTCGCGGTGGGCCTCCCCAAGGCGTTAGAGGACATGCGACAGGCGTACCAGGGCACATTAGGCGCCTTGGACTAATTCAGCTTTGGATGCGTGCGCCGCCTCCACCTATAGAGCCGACTGCGGTTGCGGGTGGAGCGCGCGCCAGCACCCCGTCCAACGCCAAGGGGGCGTTGCGACGATTGCCGCATTTGTTCTGCATCGTGTGTTGTCACCTTTAGAACCGCATGTGGTTGGAGGTTGGCCGCGCGCGATCGTTTTTAGCTCCCTGCTCCTTTGGCATTGCACTTGAGAGGCGTCCCGACCGCGGTCTTCTCCAGTGTCGCAGCGCAAATTTGTTACGACGATTTGCTCTGATTTGCCTGCCGCGGCACTCTGCGTGGGCAGCACGCCGTGCACCCGCTATTGGAGCCGTCCTCACAGCTTAGTTCACTTTTGACTGCCCGTCGTTGATGAATAAATCTGTGGTGTGGTGCAACGTGGCCGGCATAGACGCCCTGCGTAGCGGTCACTCCCACGTCCTCGCACTTTTGCCTGCCTAGAGGCCGTCCGCGCACTCGCGAGGCCTATCCTGGCGTCTGTGTGCTGCCGTGAAGTGCTGTTCTTGAGACTACAAATCCTTGGCGAACAAAAAATATACACATGTATCTGTGTGTATGTTTGTATAGCAACACCAGCCTATGTGAACACTTCAATGCGAACAGACAGAAACGTGTGTGCATATATATATGTGTGTATATATATATATATGTATACAGGCATGCAAATTTGTCTACGCATCTGTATACATCGACGCACCTATACATCTGTATTTTCGCACACCGTGCACAAAGCAGTGTGTCCATGGTTGTACCGCTCTTGCAACATGGTCGAGAAGCGACGTAGGACAACACGTAGCAGATAAGATTGCCCATCCGGAAGCGGAGGCTCCCTGAAAGTAGGGGCCAGGTACTGCATTGATTTTCCCGAAGCTCCTATCTTGGAGGTGTCTTATTGTGCTCTCGACTTCCTTGACTTGGGAGGCGGCCGTTTGTGCAGGATTCCTAAATCTCCCCCTCCCGAGCCCCACTTACACAAGGAGATGTGTATTGTTGATATCCGTGCTGTCAATCATGTAGCATTCGGCCGCGCGCTGTGCCTCTCGGAATACATCATTCGCATATTCATGTTGGGGACCGCACGGCTACCTTGGTGAGTTGATTGCCCTAGTGTTCTAGTCCTACCCTGGTCCTGAAGCTGGCTCCACTGCCCGACGCCGCCCTCCGCCCCATTCGTTCGAGCCGCAGGCCGACCCGACGCCCCGAAGCAGGCGAAGGGCAAGGCGAAGGGCAAGGAGGGGCGGAAAAAGAAAGCCTTGCGGCAGGGGGGTGGGCGGCGAGGAGGAGCCCTGGCGAATTCAGCCACACCGAACTCGCCGTGCCGCAGGCCCGAAGAGATCGAGCAGGCAGCTTGGGAAAGCCGTTGCAGGCGCTTGTGTTGCAGAGTGGGTGGGCGTTGGAGTAGGCTGGGGGCCTGGGGTGGCCGATCATTGGTTCCAACCAGCAGGAAGGGCGGGCAGGTTCCAGGTTCTGGGCTCGGGCACGTCTGTGCCTTTCTCGGCCTCTGGGGGCCTGTTCTCGGGCCCCGGGACCGTGAGAAACCGAGGCGGGGTGGAAAATTTCACCAGAGGGACCCCACAGGAGGGCCCTGGGCACCGATTCTGAGCGGACTTGTCCTGACCTGGCTTCTGGGATCCTTCCCGGCCAGCTCAGGCCCCCTGGCCGCCTCCAAGTTGCAAGTGCTTGCGTGGCAGCGTGGATGGGCGGACGGGAGGGCGCGTCCCGTCTTCTGTCCCCGCCCCGCGACGGCAAGGAACGGCTCCATACGAGGCCAGGAGGGGCGGGGAGGGGCGGAGAGGCTTGGAGGTCTGTGGGGCGGTGCGTCGACACAAGACAGCACAACATCGGCCCCGAGGTCAATGGGAGCCTGCTAACACCCAATTCATGCTGTTCTACGACGGTCCCTGATTACCCTAATCGCCGTCGGAGGGGTCCAAGCTTCCCCTGGGAGCCTCCAGGGCTCGCATCGGAGAAGTCTGGTCGTTCCTTGGCTGTTGAGACCCCACAGCATTAAGTCGGGCGTGTCCCTCTGCAGGAGGAAGATTCAAAATAGTTGTTTGTATAAGATAGGCATGGGGGCGATTTGTTTTAGTATGCTTGATAAATGTTGAAGTATTATTTGACCACTTCTATTGTTCGTCAAAAATCCGCCTGTGGGGGGACATGCCCGACCTAACCGTAGCAACATTATACGCCTTCTTGTCTGAAGGGTTTCGCCCTCTGCCGCTGGCCACCACTCTGATTGCCGGCATGTCTACCCTTGTTCGATTGGTTTGGGCTTGTCAGCTGGTTGGCTGGCAACTCGGCTGCGTCAGTAGAGGATTGGCAATTGGTTTCGGCTGGTTGTTGGCTGTCTGATCGCGCGCCTTTGTCACACTCAACGGAACATGGTGCGTCGTCACGATCGTGCTTCTGTTGTGATATACGAGGTGCCGCGACTTCGGGAGCGCGCATCCCCCGCTATGTTCGATGAGTCCTGGTCTCGGGTCCAGGGCCGAGCTTTCCGAACACACGTTTTGACACAGAAGTTGTATCGTGTCTCTGGAGGGGGGGGGGTCGTGGTCTCGAGTCCAGGGCCGAGTTTTCAGGAAACGACGAGTGGAGTGGGTCGAAAAAGGCCCCCCGAAAACATGTTTTGACACAAAAGATGTACATTGTCCCTGGGGGGGGGGACGACGGCGGGCGGCGTTTTGAGGCAGCCTCTCCGTGGGGTGGGCTGCTCGCTACTTCGGAGGCGCCAAGCTGTGCTGATTTTTCCCACGGGCTGTGGCCTCGGGAGCGCGAGCGCGATTCGATTTACGAGGAGGAAGATGAGAAGGAGGACGAGGAGGAGGACGAGGAGGAAGAGGAGGAGGAGGAAGGGATTGTGGTTTCGGGAGCGCGGATCTGCTACAAAATACGAACGGCTGTATCTTCGGGAGCGCGAGCGCGATGCCAAGTATTAGCGATTGTGGTTTCGGGAGCACGACGTTCTTGCAAATCACAACGGACTGAGGCTTCGAGGGCGTGAACGCGTCGTAATTGATTGACGATTGGCCTCGGGAACGCGAACGTGACGTCATTCACTATGGGCTACGGCGTTGAGAGCGCGAGCGTGAGATAACTTACTGTAGGCTTGTCGCCTCGGGAGCGCGAGAACGACGTAACTCACTAGGGATGGTTGGCTGCGGAAGCGCGACAGCATCGTAATCTGCCAGGGGCTGCGGCCTCTAGAGCGTGAACGCGACGTGATTTACCATGGATTGCAGCCTCGGGAGCACGAAAGTGACGTACTGTTCAAAAGGGTGTGGCCGCGGGAACGCAAAAACGTCGCTATGTATTATGGGTGATGGCCTCTACTATGGGTTGTGGCCTCGGGAGCGCGAAACGGCTGCAGTTTAATACAACAGGTTGTGGCCTCGGGAGCGGGATTGCATGATAACTCAAAACGGTTTGTGTCCTCGGGGGCGTGGATCCACCACATGTGCTTCATGTCCCAGGGCACCCCGAAATTCGAAGCACGTGATTCAGGCATGGTGAGAGGATGTTTCCGGGCCGCGGTAACACACGCGCATGTTTGAGCCCCTTGGAACATAACGTTTCGAATTCTGGAGCATGAAGCTGAGTTCGAAACTAGCCCCGGAACCCAGGAGCTCAGGACAGGGCGCAACCTAAGCATCGCAGCCCGGTGGCCTCCCTAAGGGGGCGGGCGGATTCGCGGGCAGTGCTTTCTCAAACAAGAATGCCCATCAAGCCAAGTTCGCTCTGTAGATCCTTTCAAATAGGTTCGCGACGCCCCTAAACTTCGAGAAGGCTACGATAGGCACTTGTACATTCCAGAAGGCCTTGAGATCCCCTCGAGAGGACACGCGAGGCCCCGTGGTCATTTCTGTTTAGTCCCCCGCCTGTACGTTCTCTTCGTTCTCCGATTCCTAATCCCCCGTGCCCCAATCCACGGTGTCCCCATCCTGTTCGGCGTTTTCTGTTCACCTTTCCTTTCTCTGCGCTCGTGCCTCCACTCCTTCTGCACCGCATTTGCACTGTTCACCCTTGTCATCATCATTCAACCTCGCCCCTCCCCGTCTTTATTTTTGCTGTCTTCTCCTCTGCCCCCTTGCCAGGAGGAATGGCACTCCACAGGCAGGTGGACTCTCGACCTCCGCACTCGAGTACTCAAAGCAAGTCTGCCTGAGGCCACGGCCTGGCCATCGGAAGAGCTGGAGGAGAACGACGCAGGAAGAGGACAAGGAGCAGAGCTTGTGACGACGACGACCTCAACAATCGCTACGTCAGCCACGATGACAGACCCGACGGCAACCAGGGTGACAATTGCGACGGTGACAACCACAGCGACGGCAACAATGTTGAACACATCACGGCAACGACAACGTCGATGGCCAGAACCAAGACCACGATGGGGAAGATAGCAACGACAACGACGACGCCCAAAACAGCGATGGCTACGACGACGACGACGACGCCGACGAAGACGACGACGACGACGACGACGACGACGACGACGACGACGACGACGACGACGACGACGACGACGACGACGGCTACGACGACGATGACGATGACAACGACGAAACTGGCGACCATGAAGGCGAGTAGATGCAGGTGACAACCCCCGCTTCTGAGGGTGGGTGGACGTTTTGCCTGCGCCTGCCAGCAATCGGCCCCAGAAGCGGTGGATGCGGAAGCCTTGTCCGCGACCGTCCCCGAGCAGATGCCCAGTTTCCTCTGCCCTGGCCCTCCGCCCTACGAATACCCATGGATTTCAGCCGCATGGAGGTTTTCGCGCTGTTGTCTCTAAGTGTTGCGCTTAGGGCTGTTAGTCCACCACGGGGATAGATGAGAATCAGCGGCAGCATTACCTGGCTTCAGGCTTGTCAGGGGAGCTGATCATCTCTCGAAGGAAGGCGACAGTCTCCCTCGGAATGGTGACGATGAGGGGGATGATTGATGCCAAATGTGACGAATTGCGCTGACATTGGCGACAACGACGCGTTGAACGACAATGACGACATGACGGCGAGTGTGGGACGCTTGCGAAAACGACAGCCACGGTTGTCGCCGCAATGACGGTCTCAAGTGGTTGATTGGTAAGTGGTCTCGGCGAGAGGCACAAGATGTTGGATTTTGCATGGCAGATATGGTATGTGAGAACTGCTGGTTGGTGGACACTGGTGGGAGCGCAAGAGCGGTAGATCATACACGAAAGTAGCTAGGTCACAACAAGCATGCGTCTGGTTTGGCAGTGACATCGGAGGTGGAAATTGCAATTGGCAGACGGCGGAGGATGGGTGGTAGTCGTTATACTCAGTCGGCAAAGGACGGGGTTCCGAACGGTGATATTAGAAGATAGAGCGTCGGTGGACGTGAGTAGTGCTAGGAGGGAGGTCCTTTTTGTGGACTTTGGCTACATGTCATGCTGTTATCTTGCATCTCTGGGCCGCTGGCGTCCAGACTTGATCTCCGCTACGTCAGTTCAAGCCCGAGTTGATGAAAGCCTCTATACATTGACGCCCCCAGAGAGCGACACACGAGAGCAAACGGAAGACACGCATGTCTTGTAATTCTTAAGTCTTAGTTGCCCACTGCTATTCTGTTCACCATTCACCCCAGTGCTTGCTGCAGTGCTGCGCGTGCCGGCCATAGGGCTGGACGATTGAGAAGTTGAGCGAAGAGGTGAAGAAAGTGGCTCTTGGTGAGGACATGTTCTTCTTCGGCCTACGTGCCCATCCAAGCGATCGTCGAACACATCGTCTTAGACGTTCACTCGAACCGCTGGCCAAACCTTGCTAGTTTCCGTCAACTAGCAGACAACAGCCGCGCTACAGCTTGGAAGGGGGGGACCTGATCGTGTTTTTTTTGATAGCGAGGCTCAACTCCGTAGGGTTGGTTCGAGTCGTGTCGACGTGGCGGCGACCCCAGCGCGAACGTTCGAGGTTGACCGCGCCAGCGATCCCGAGTCGGCGCATTGCCGGGGATCGCGCGGATCAAATCGTTCGAAGTTGAAGGATCTACGCGGTGTTGGAGCCCATCGCCGAAGTCGTCTCCGCACGAGTTTGCCGTGGCGGGGAGGGTCGCGCTTTTGGCTTCGGTAACGATGTTCATTCGAGTAGCGTGCACGAGCACGCGCGCAGGCTTCTGTTGTCCACATCACACTGTTGCATGTAAGCTAGCCGTCACTCGGCAGAAGGCGAGGTGGTCTAGACGACCAGCAGGAATGGAAGGATTATGAACAACAGATTCAACAAACCACAGTGTGCACAGCACCCACGCTCACTCGCATTGGCTCACCTAGAAGCGTCGTGGGGGAGGCGATGCTTTGTTTCTTCCTTTCCGCAGCTCTCAACTATTCGCTTCTCAACTATATCTGCTGCACTTGTAGTGCATATTGTTGGAGCTTCGCGTATCCCCACCAACCCTCCAGAAAGATCCCCAGTCGAGTTGCATTGATTTGGACGTCGTAAGAGCATGCAGTGGAACAAAGAGGGGGGCTGCCGTCAAACAAAAGCTCGAAATCAGCCTGAGAAGACCCAGGCGTCAACCATAAAGGCCGTCGCAGATCTTTCGATCTGGGAGTTTCTGGAATATCTGTGGGGCTATCTTTCGTTTCTGGTGGGGCGCCATTCGGTGGGCGAGCTCTCAGAAAGCAGAGGGAGGTATGGCGGAGATGCCGGCAGTTAGCGGCTTTAATGTAGTTTTTTTGTCTCCGGGAGCGGCGCCTCTCAGACAGCCTCCCCGACACAGGGGAAGTGGATTGCGGCTGGCTGTGAAGAGGTGAGAGTGTCGGGCACGGAAAACAAAGCGCACGCGACATCTCGCTGTGACGTGCGGCAAGACCAGCGCGTACGGCACACGTGATGTCGACGGGCTTCTCTATGATGCACACGGCAAGCACGGCTCATGGGCGGAGCAATCGATTGCTCGCCAGGCGCAGCAAGCGCAGCACACGCTGGCCGTAGCACGGCGCAGCATGCGGCGATTGTGCCAATGAAGGGCGAGGTTGCGGCAATACATGGCCGGCAAGCACCCCGACCGAGAAGACGGCTTGGCGTTTGCTCCAAAATTTGGCGAGCAAGCGCGATACGTCCTGGATATCTGAGCTCACCCCCGAAGCTTTTCCCCCGGAAGCAGGCTTCCCTGGAAAGCTCCATTCGGCGGGCGAGCTATCGGAAAACGCAGGGGGACCTGGCGGAAGCGTCACGAGGCTGTCCCCGCAAGGACGAGGCACCAGAAATGAGGGAGTACGGGATTGCATCAGCAAGGCATCCCAAAGAGGCATAGTGGAATGGGATGCAGGGATATGGTAGCAAAAGAGCGCTGGGCCGCCTGAGTGGCCGACCGTGACGGCCGTGTAGAAGAGGCGCCCAAAACCGAACCAACCCACGTCAAGACCAGCAGGCACAAGCCGCCCGACACCGATCCAGAGCACACGGTACAAGGCGCCCCAGGCCGACCGCAAGGATGCTCATCAGGTCAACGTAGTGCAGCGTGGGTTCGAGACCAGCACCTGGGGGAGTCGCCCAAATGCCCAGCTCCGTTGGCATAAAGATCGACCAATCAGGCGACCGCAAACATGTATTAAGGGAGCGTGAATTAGCGACGGGTCCCGTTTCCATGGGGAATCGCGGATTTCCGCCGCCGAGCGAGGCGGCACCGGCCGCATTTTGGGGAGGGCGCCTCCCCCGATCCATGGAGTTGGCGACCGCGCGCCAAAGCCATGGATCACTAATCCATGTTTGCGCGCCCCCGAACCAAGTCAACACTTTCGAGTTCGGAGCCTGCTGGTTCTGTGCTCTCTGCTCGCCCGACTCCCGACACGGGTTCCGAGCGATCCCCCACCGCCCTCCTCGGCGGAGCCACCGCCCTTCTCAGGGAGAGCCGCTCAGCCCGCATCTCATCCAGCAGGATGGCGGAGACCGACGAGAGCGGAGAGGCAGCAGAGGAGCGAAAAACGGCATAAGCATAAACATTGTGGACGACGTTCCATGGAGAGGAAGCATGCTGCCAAATATTTTCCAGATGTCGAACATGCATCAAAAATGTTTAGAACATGTTCCTAACATCTAAAGCACTTTTCTAATTCAAGGATAGGATTGCTAGAGTGTCCATTGTCATGGCATCCACAACATAAACATAAACGGTCCGCACGGATTTCTTGGAGAAGGCGAGAACGCGAAAACCACTCAGAAAATCAATGACGCGGGTTTCTTCGGACCCTGGTGGAGGTCTTCTTGTGGCCGCCATTGCGGGCAAATTCCACGGTTTCAGGTTCCAGAATTACTCGGCACGGTTCTGGGGTGATTCTGATGCCCTGACACTCGCCGCTCCCAGTTCCAGAATCACTTTGAAACCAGTCCGGGGTGAAGATCCATTTGAGACCAGCTCGGGAGATTTTCCAGAAGGCCTTATTGGATTCCTCATTGGGCTCCTTACAGAAGGCCTTCTGACCTCCTTACAGAAGCCCTTATTGGGCTCAGAAGGCCTTATTTAATCGCTTCGCTCATTCCGCCGGCCCATACAGTCTCATGTCTGCCGTTTGCCCGAGGGCCTGGTGTCAATGCGGCGCTTTGGGGGTTCTTTTGCGCCTCGTCGGGGCCTCTTAGGGGCCTCTTGGGGCCTCGTGGGGGCTTCTTAGGGCCGAGGGCTCGAAATGTTGTTTCGTGTTCCCTCTCTGGAGCCCCTTTGGGGGCGTTCTTGGGGCCCTTTTGGACCGTCTTGGAGGCTTCTTGGGCCGTCTTCGAGCCCTCTTGGGCCATCTGGGGGCCCTCTTGGGGGCCTCTTGGGCCCTCTTGGGGCGATCTTGGGGGCCTCTTGGGCCGTCTTGGGGCGTCGAGAAGCCGAAAAGGTGGAAGCTACAAAATCTCCCAAAAACCTAAGGAGAAGCAATGAATTTGCCTCCTGGGGCCCTCTTGGGAGTGCTCTTGGAGGCCTCTTGGGGCGTCTGGGGGCTATCTTGGGCGTCTTGGAGCGATCTTGTGGCATGTCGGACCCCTCGTGTACCATCTTGGGGGCCTCTTGGGGGCCTCTTGGCCTTTCTTGGGGCTCTCGGGGACGTCTCGGAGCCCTGTTGGTGCGCTCATGGAGCGCTCTGGTGGAGTCGCCCGGGGATCAGCCGGGAGTCGCCCGGGGTACTTTTCGTCCGGGGACCCCCAGGGGCCGCCCCGCGCGCGCGAACTAGAGAATTGTTAACCAGTTACCGGAGATCTTAGCACGCCTCTGGCCCGTTGGGCCGGCGAATTGGGCTCCTCACAGAAGGCCTCATTGGGCTCTTTACAGAAGGCTCAAGTGGGGAGATGTACCTGAGCCCCCTAAAGTGGTACTTTTCAAAAGCAGATGTCTTATCGGGGAGCTTTTTCTTTTTTCGGTTGGGCCTCCCAGCTGGACCCCAAAAGGGGGAGGGCCAGAACGGCGGCCCACAAGGCTCCTGAGAGCGGCCCAGATGCAAAGTCACCCGTTCCAGGTTCCGGAACGGCTCCTGGGTGATTCTGGATTCTGGAACCTGAAACGGGTGGGCGCCCCATGTCGGGCCCGCTTGGAGGCACTTTGGGCCGTCTTGGAAAAATATTTCAAACGCTTCGCGTAAACCCGCCAAAGGTGCCTTCGCGGTTGCCTCTTTTGCTGGCACATGTCCAGCGTCGTTAATTATCTGCAGGTGCCCTCTGCGCGATGTTGCGCCAATTATCTGTCGCTGTGCCCCAGCCTCGGTCACCCCGCCCTCTGGACTTCTCCTTGCGGGCCGCGAATCAAAAAAGTAAACCCGCCAGCTGCATCCCAGCGTTGGCTTTTGGCCCGCTGGTAATTATCTCGCTTGGCCCCCCAAGCTTGCTACGCCCTCTGGCACAGGTGCACTCCGGCGTTGGCTTTGGCCCGCTGGCAATTATCTTGCGTGCTGCCCCATGCTCGATACGACCCGCTCTCTGGAATCTTTCTTGGAGCCGCAAATCAAAAAAGTAAACCCGCCAGCTGCGCCGAGCAGTTCAGCTTCACCCATCAGCCCGCTGCTGCCGTCTGAGTGGGCCGGCCAGCCTGCGCCTGTCCTAGCTAATTGGCCTAGTTCGCGTCCCGGACTTTGCTTTCGCCGCCTGACCGTCGTCTCGCGGCCGCGACCAAAACAAAAAGTAAACCCGCCAGCCTGTGTTTTTCCTTCTGCTGGTGGCACAGCCTGCCCCTGCATGCCCGGCGTTCGACTCGTTTCGCGCGCCCGCGTACAAAAAAGTAACCCCGACAGCCCATCCAGAAACGATGCCCAGACGAGTTGCCCTGATCAAGGATGTGGAGGAGCATGCAGTGGTATAAAGAGCTGGGTAAGACGTCGTACCCCACGAGGGGGAGGATGGAGGAGGAATCGGAGGAGCAGCACGAGGAGGAGGAGGAGGAGGAGGAGGAGGAGGAGGAGGAGGAGTACGGAGCGGGGGAGGGGGAGGAGGGAGGAGGAAGGAGGAGGATCAGGCGGATGAGGAAAAGGAGGAGGAGGAGGAGGGCGAGCAGAAAGGCCAGAGGCCTCTTGGATGTTTCTCGGAGTCTCTTCGGATGTCTTTCGAGAGTTTCTTGGGATCCTCTTGGGGCGTCTTGAGGTGCTCTTGGCGGCCTGGGGGGAGACATCTTGGTGCGTTTTGGGTGTCTCCGGGGAACCTCTAGAGCGTGGGGCCTCCTGGGCGCCTCTTGGGGCCCTCTTGGGGCACTCTTAGGAGCCTAGGGGGGCATCTCGGGGCCATATTGGAGGAGTTCGATCAGAGAAGGGGGGCATTCGATTAGGGTCCCCCCTCCAAGAGGCCAAAATGTGGCCAAAAAAGTTTGGTAGCCTTCTCGCCGAGGCCGTTTTGGACGCTCCAGTGGGTCGTGGAACCCCCCGCCCGGGTCCAGGGGGAGGAAGAAGGGGGAAGGGTCGAGGCCCCCTTTTCGCCCGCAAGCCGTCTCGCCCACTCCCACCCGCCATCCCAACACATGAGTAACACCCGAGGGAGTCTCAGCATAATGCTCATGAGCGCCACACATGCCATGTGCGCCACGGGTTCCAGGTGCACCAGGCACCCTGGAGGCCCAGGCGAGCCATGCGCACCAGGTGCGGCACGTGTTCCACGTTCAAGCAATATGCCTGCACCCCCGCCGTCCCTGTCAAAAACCAACGCAAAGTGGTCGCGGGGCGCCCGCGCATGCTCCAGGGGTGGAAACAAAGTGCATACTGCATGATTTGTTTGACATGGCTGTTTGGCTTGCGCGCAGCGAGGAACATGACGGCACCCCCGCCGCCGTTGTCACAAATCAATGCAAAGTGGTCGCGGGGCGCCCGCGCATGCTCCAGATTTGGAGGAAAGGTGCATTATGTATTGTTGTTTTGACAGGGCTGGCTAGCATGCGCGCAGCGAGCAATATGACGGCACCCCCGCCGTCCTTGCCAAAAAATAATGGAAAGTGGTCGCGGGGCGCCTGCGCATGCTCCAGATGCAGAGGCAAAGTGCAGTTTGAATCATTTGTTTTTTCCCAACCATCCTGTGGTGTTGGGTCCTCGTTTTGAAGAGACGGTGCCCCGCGTTCCTCCTCCCGCTGCCCTCTCCCCCTTTCCTCCCATCATCATCACCATCCTCATCATGCTCATCATCATGAGTATCGCCATCATCATCATCATCATCATCATCATCCGCATCGTGGTTGTCGGTCATCATCATCACCATCATCATCATCATCATCATCATCATCATCATCATCATCATCATCATCATCATCATCATCATCATCAGCAGCATCATCATCGGCACACCCCTCACACGTTTCGTGGCCCCATAGGGAGCTCCACCGAAGGCCCAAATTGCTGCGTCCGCATGCCGCCGCCACCCAATTTTGGCACACACCTCACACGTTTCGTGGCCCCATAGGGAGCTCCACCGAAGGCCCAAATTGCTGCGTCCGCATGCCGCCGCCACCCAATTTTGGCACACCCCTCACACGCTTCGTAGCCCCATAGGGAGCTTCACCGAAGGCCCAAATTACTGCGTCCGCATGCCGCCGCCACCCAATTTTGGCACACCCCTCACACGTTTCGTGGCCCCATAGGGAGCTCCATCTAAGGCCCAAATGGCTGCGTCCGCATGCCGCCGCCACCCAATTTTGGCACACCCCTCACACGTTTCGTGGCCCCATAGGGAGCTCCACCGAAGGCCCAAATGGCTGCGTCCGCATGCCGCCGCCACCCAATTTTGGCACACCCCTCACACGTTTCGTGGCCCCATAGGGAGCTCCATCGAAGGCCCAAATGGCTGCGTCCGCATGCCGCCGCCACCCCATTTTTGGCACACCCACACACGCTTCGTGGCCCCATGGGGAGCTCCACCGAAGGCCCAAATGGCTGCGTCCGCATGCCGCCGCCGCCCAATTTTGGCACACCCCTCACACGTTTCGTGGCCCCATAGGGAGCTCCATCTAAGGCCCAAGTGGCTGCGTCCGCATGCCGCCGCCACCCCATATTTGGCACACCCCTCACACGTTTCGTGGCCCCATAGGGAGCCCCACCGAAGGCCCAAATGGCTGCGTCCGCATGCCGCCGCCACCCAATTTTGGCACACCCCTCACACGTTTCGTGGCCCCATAGGGAGCTCCACCGAAGGCCCAAATATCTGCGTCCGCATGCCGCCGCCACCCAATTTTGGCACACCCCTCACACGCTTCGTGGCCCCATAGGGAGCTCCATCTAAGGCCCAAATGGCTGCGTCCGCATGCCGCCGCCCGCCCAATTTTGGCACACCCCTCACACGCTTCGTGGCCCCATTGGGGAGCTCCACCGAAGGCCCAAATGGCTGCGTCCGCATGCCGCCGCCGCCCAATTTTGGCACACCTCTCACACGCTTCGTGGCCCCATAGGGAGCTCCATCTAAGGCCCAAATGGCTGCGTCCGCATGCCGCCGCCACCCCATATTTGGCACACCCCTTACACGTTTCGTGGCCCCATGGGGAGCTCCACCGAAGGCCCATATGGCTGCGGCCCAGGCGTGATCCTGGACTGCGGCCGCCACGAGGTCGGGAACGGCAAGAAGGAGGACGACGACTGGTGGCTGGAGCTCTACGCGCTGCTCTCGCGCGCCAGATCATGCGGGCGCCGCTCATCGAGTTCTTCCTGGCAGGGCCGCCGGAGGGCTTGCGGAAGCAGCTAGAGCAGTTTGCAGCGCGCACGAAGCGGCGCAAGAGGGAGGCGACGGCCCTCGCCAGAGAGCTGGGCTTGAGCGAGTTCATCCGCGAGGCCTGACCTGGGGAGCGGCCCCGCACGAGCCAGCGGCGCGCGCCGGTTGTCGCTGACGCTTGGATGACCCCAGCTCGTCGTCGGGATTTCTCGCCAGAGGATGACCGGCGCCTGTCGGGGGATTTCACCCAGATCGCGCCATTTTCGCACGCCTCGCCACGCAGTACGGGGGTGCTATCCGTTGACTCAGATTCGCAGTGGACAACCCCCGAACGTCGATGGGATTCCCTCGGGATGACCAGACCGCGTCGGCGAGGACTTCCCAGGCACTTTCGCGCGGCGCCGCCTGCGCGCTGCATTCTGCGTGGCTCGCTGTCGGTCTGGAGGCAAAAACGTCCCCCCTCGTCTCTCGCTCCTCCTGCTTCCCATCGCTTCTTGACCGCGCGCTTCCCCGTCTCGTTTCTGCCGCTGCTGACCTGCCTTCGACATCTACACGGTGTCTCCGTCACCTCTTCCTGCGTGCCCAGTAACAGGTCTCATGATGCGATGATGATACTGATGTGTTGGCTCGCCCCAGTGAGCTCTCCTCCTCCGCCCGCCACCTCCTGCCCGCGCTGCCCTGTGCCTCGCCCATGCAGTGGCGCGGTGCCGATGAGAAGAGGGGCCTAGTTTGCGTGCCCCCTCCTTCGTCTCATATCCGCGCGGTACTCGCAGCTGCATATGGTTGGGTCCTTCGCCAGGCTAATTTGACAGGGATGTTAGGCTTGCGCGCAGCGAGCAACATGACGGCACCCTTGCCGCCCATATCACCATGCAGAGTGATCGCGGGGCGCCCGCGCATGCTCCACATTTGGAGGTAAAGTGCATGCATTGCTGTTGCGTTGACCGGAATGGTGCGGGGGGTGGCATGTCTCGGGTTGGCCCGAAGTCGGGTGGTGGAGGGGGTGCATATTAATAAGGAGCAGTGGTAAACCCCTCCCCGAAGGGGGAAAAGGGGGTTAGAAGAGAAAACGCCCTAAACCACTCACGCCCTGAAGGGCTGGTGGGATTCGGCCGCCTCGGGGCCATCTTGGAGCCGTCTTCGAGGCATCTTGGGCCATCTTGGTGCCCCTGGTTGCCTGCGCGGGCCGTCTTGGAAGCTCGGGGCGCAGATCCATCGTTGTCAACGAGGGATCGGGGCGTGGGAGGCCCTGGAGCGCTTGGGAGCATCACTTGGCAATTCGGGAAATGTACGATCCTCGAGCGGGCGCGCATTGGATGAGGGCTCGGATCTCAGGTGCCATGCGGGAAGTGCACCTGCACCATCCCCGGGCGCGCATGAGTGGAAGGGCGGTTCAGGCGTTAGCTGCCACGCGTGAAGTGTACTATCCTCGAGCGGGCAACGTGGAAGGGAGGTTCAGGCGTCAGCTGCCATGCAGGAAGTACACAATCCTCGAGCAGGCACGCGTGCAATGTGGGTTTAGACATTGCCTGTCATGCTGGAAGTGCACCATCCTGTAGCGGGCACGAGGGAAGCCGCTTCAAAAAAAAAGGCGATGCACGCAAGAGCCTGCGGGTAGGGACGAGGAGGATCAGTTTTTAAAATTAAGAAGGCGTACCACATAGACCTTGGCATTATTCCACGCCTCAACGTGCGGGGGGGGGCACGGTTGCGGATGTGGTGCAAGTTACGAGGTGCAAGTTGTGTGGTCAAGGTTATGTGGTGCAAGCTATGTGGTACAAGCTATATGGTGCAAGGTTTGTGGTGCGATCTACGTGTTGCACGCTCTGCGATGTAAGCTATATGACGCAAGAATGTGATGCAAGCTACGTTGGGCGGCCACCAAGCTAAAATCGAGGTGACCCATCCAATCCATGAGTAGAACAAACAAGAACCCCCAAATGCAAGCACGGCTAGGGAAACAGATGTATTCATATACATACACATCGCGTAAAACATTCAAAAGATCTTGAAAGGGAAAGGAGAGCGAGAAAGAAGAGAAACCACAAACAAACAACAGCACAGCCATCATAACTCAAGCAGACAGACAAGAGCTAGCAAGCAAACAAGACAACAGACAAACAAGCACGAACCAAATCAGCAAGCAGCCAAATCAGCAAGCAAACAAAAACAAACAAATCATCGGCAAACAAACAAGTCAACAAGCAAACAAAAAAACAGCAAGCAAACAAAACATCAGAGGAGGCGTCACTTGACAAAGAATCCGAACGCCGCGAGCCCGCAGCAGAAGCCACCCCGCGCCCCGAGGACGCCCTGCCGGACGTGGCCCCGGAGGGCGGTGGACCCGGCACGGCGCCCGAGGCGCGCGGCCGCGCGGCCTCGCCCTCCCCCCCGCCCTCGGACGGCACGGCGCCTCGCTCTCTCTCTCTCTCTCTCTCTCTCTGTCTCTCTTTGTCTCTCTTTCTGTCGCCTTCTCTCTCTCTCTCTCTCTATCCCTCCTCCCTCCTCCCTCCTCCCACTTCCCTCCTCCCTCATCCCTCCTCCCTCCCACTTCCCTCCTCCCTCCTCCCTCCTCCCTCCTCCCCCCCTCTTTCTTACCCCCCTCCTCCTCGCCTCCTCCTCGCCCTCCTCCACCTTCCGCGGACGACCTGTGTGCACCGTACCGCTCTGGCGTCTCCCGATGCATCGTCGATCCTCGAGGAATGGTACAGTGCACAGTTTCTGTCGGCCCCCAGGGTCCGAAAACTGTGCACCGTACCGCGCTGGAGCGGCCGAGGCTGGAGGCGGCCTGCTGGGAGATACCGCGGTTCTGGGATGTCTTTGGGCTGGCATGGGCGTTGGGGTTTGCCCCCTCTTCGACGTGAAAGGTTTACGACGGACGGTTTTGGGCCCTGGAGCCGTCAGAAGGCAAGCCGGGACGAAGAGCTTGCCCCCCAGATCTCTTGGGGCCCACGTGGCGGAGAAAGCACGGCGCCACAGTTTTTGGGGGGGTTTGGAAGCCCTCGGAGAATGATGGGGACCTCTGGAGGCCCCCGCGGGGACCTTCAGAGAACGACGACGGCGACGGCGACGACGACGACGACGACATTATGAATGTGCCATGGCGGGGAGTTTCAACAGTTCTGTGGGAAGAGCCCTGGCCACATCGCCATCGGCATCGGGATCGAGCCCGTCAGCTCGCTGGCTGTATCCCCTCGAACCGGCTGCTCGGAAGGGTCGACACGTAACGGGGCCTTTGTGCCGAAGCCTTTGCCCGTACAGGGGATAGCCTCGCTCCGCACCACCTGGACTCGCACAAGCTGCCGATGGAGAGTCCCAAATTCTCTCGGAGGAGGGGGCGAGGGGGGTAGGAGGACTGCAGAATCCATTGTGGGAGGGAGGCAGGAACATGGGCACGGGCATCAACATCCCGCGGCTCCAATTCTATGTGTTCGAGGGTGGTGCCCCTCGGCTAAGCCGCTGGCTCGGTGACAACAGACAGCTCATGGAACGCGAGGCAGGTGAAGGGCCACCAGGCACGGTGAAGATTACTATCACGAGAGGGAGGTCATGCGCTAGCGCCTGGGTCAACACATCAGCTGTCACGAGAAAACATCCCCGACGCCACATTGCAGAAGGGGCGACGACCTGTGGCGCCGGCGGCGAACCAAAACATTTGCGGAACCCAGACGACAGCGCCCGCTCTGCATGCCGACACCGTGAGGCAAGCACTCGGATGCCAGAGCATGCCCGGCGGATGTCTGGCGCTGCAGCGTCCAGGCAGACGTGCAGACAGGGCACTTGCAGCGCATGCCACTCGGAGACAGCGAGGCCGTCACAGCTCCCACGGGGTCGCCCGATTAGTCTTGGCACGCGATGTGTTACGCGACTCGCAGCAAACGCAAGTGGTTTCATAAATACCTCGCGCAGCCCAGCCGATCAACCATGAGCAAGATGCATGTTCTTCAACGTTACACAAGCAGAACAATTTCATGTTAGTTTCTCGCAGGCCCACAGGCCAGCATCAGAATAGCATTCGCTCGTGACCAATGGAAGATGATGAGGGCGACAAGCTCCAGAACCGGTACCCATCTCAAGCCAGGAAGGAAACCGAACAGCGGCCAGGCATACACGAACGTACGAACAACAAAGTCCGAACAGACAGCCACTGAATCCTTGTCTATGGCGCACCTGGCTCCACAATAGTAGCATGGCTCCCGTGTGTTGCTTGTTTGCGCGAGGCTGTTTGTGTTCGCTCGCACGTTGGTTTGCTGGGTGTGTTTGCTTGCTGACTTGCTGGCTTGTTTGCTGGTGCTTGCTTGCTTGTGCTTATTTGTTTGACCTCCCCATCTTCAGTATTAGCCTTATGAGCCTTGTCCTCCTTCTCCTCCTGTATTCCTCCTCCTCCCCCTTCTCCTTCTCCTCCTTCTCCTCCTCCTACTCCTCCTCCTCCTCCTCCTCCTCCTCCTTCTCCTCCTCCTCCTCCTCCTCTTCCTCCGCCTCATGTCCTTCCTCATTTCACAAGTGCGCGCCATTCCGAGTGTTTTCCGCCGCAAATCAATTTCCCTGGCGTGTGCCGGGTGGATCTTCAATTGCTGGCAGTCATGCTACCAAGTGTTCCATGGTGGTTCGCGGGGCGCTTGTCGAAGGGACGCTAAGATACTCCTTTCGCTTCTCCGCGCTGTAGTTTACAATGGCAGTCGGGGCTCTCCACAGAACGCTCCGTCCGTTCTCCCACGCCACAGCTCTGTGCATGCGCTCGTTTCGTTCAAGGTTGGCCTGCGCGCTATTTCATGTATTCTGGGTACCTTCCCGCGCGCTGAGCTGTAGTTTTTTTTTTGAACAGAGCGCATTACATCTATGCACGGGCGTAGTTTGGTCTCAATTGCTTACTTCAGTGTTCATTTGGAGCCTTCGCCTGTAGGTATTACTGCCACAGATTTGCGCTGACCACAGAAGACCAAGGGAATAGTTGCAGTGTTATCGGGCACACGTGGTGCTAGCGGTGGCGGCGGCGAGAGAGGGCAGTCATCTTGACGCCCACCGATGCGCGGCAGCTCCTGCTTCTCCTCGATGCCGACACGGTTGTGGCTGGACTCACTGGGCGATGAAGTGCAGCTGATTTCTCCGATTGGATGGAGGAGTTCACCATCTTCCAGGTTTGGGGATCGTTGCTGCTGGTTGGATGGAGCACAGTCCTGCTATTTGGGGCAAAGACAGCAAAGTTGGCTCAGCGAGCGCACAGCGTAGTCCACTTGACCGCTAAAACCTTATGGAGGATAGTCATGCTGTGCGGAGAAAGGTGTCCACCGTGCTGGTTGGAAGGAGTCTTCTGGAGAGCCATTGGAGTGGACATCTGGCGAGGCGGTTCATGCGCAGGCCGGCGCCGTGGATATGCAGTCAGAAGTGGCCCTGTTTTCTTGTGGAACAACGGTTGCGAAATCGCGCCACTGGATCACCCTGTAGTTGAAAAGGGGTGCGGGAGGGGTCCGACCCCCCCCCCCCTCCCCGCCATCGAGTTGGGAGTACCGAGTAGTGAATAGTGAGTCGCGAATAGAGCACTGGGAGTAGTGAGTAGTGAGGAGGGAGTAGTCAGTAGCAAGTAGCGAGTAGGGAGTAGCGAGTAGTGAGTAGGGAGTCGGGAGTAGGAGTAGGGACTACTGAGCAGTGAGTAGTGCGAATTGAGGTTGGGTATTGAGTATTGGGCAGTGGGTAGTGCGTTGGGAGTAGCGAGTAGTGAGCAGTGAGTAGTGAGTAGTGAGTCGTGAGTTGTGAGTAGCGGTTACTGATTAGTGAGTAGAGAGTAGCGACTTGTGACTAGTGAGTAGTGAGTAGGGAGTAGGGAGTAGTTGGTAGTGCGTAGTGAGTAGTGCGAAATGGGTAGTGAGTCGTGAGTAGTGAGTAGTGGGTACTGTATAGTGACTAGTGAGTAGCGCAGATACTTGTGACTTGTGACTAGTCACTAGTTGGTAGCGAGTTGGGAATAGCGAGTAGTGAGTAGTGAGCAGTGAGTATTGTGTAGGGAGTAGCGAGTAGCGAGTAGCGAGCAGAGGATAGATAGTAGTGAGTTGTGGGCAGTGAGTAGTGAGTAGTGAACCGTGAGTACTCAGAAGTGAGTAGTGGATAGTGGTTAGTGGGTAGTGAGTAGTGCTTAGTGAGTAGTGAGTAGTGGGCAGTGGGTCGTGTTTAGTGAGTAGTGAGTATGGGGTACTGGGTAGTGAATAGTGAGTAGTGAGTTGGGAGCAGTGTGTAGGGAGTAGTGAGTAGTGAGTAGTGGCAGCGTAGTGCGTAGTGAGTACAGGGTAGTGCGTGGTGCGTATTGGGTAGCGATTAGAGTGTAGGGACTAGCAAGTAGTGAGTAGTGAGCAGTGAGTACTGTGTAGTGAGTAGGGAGTAGCGAGTAGTGGATAGTGAGTAGTGAGTTGTGGGCAGTGAGTAGTGAGTAGTGAAGTGTGAGTAGTGGGTAGTGAGTACTGGATAGGGGGTAGTGAGTAGTGAGTTGTGATTGGTGCGAAGAGGGTAGTGATTGCGTTTAGAAAGTAGTGAGTATTGAGTAGTGGATAGGGAGTAGTGAGTAGGGAGTAGGGAGTAGGGAGTGTTGGGTAGTGGGTAGTGAATAGTGGGTAGTGAGTAGTGAGTCATGAATAGTGAGTAGTGAGTAGTGACTAGCGAATAGTGCGCAGTGGGTAGTTTTTTTTGCCCCGAGGAAATGAAAGCCGCAAGTTGGACAGGAAAGAAAAGGCGTAAATAGCGCACTATCTGCTTAGCTCCGAAGCCGGTCGCCAGCCAAAAGATAAGTTCTGCCTTGGTGGCGGGCCTGCTTCAAGAGCTCACGATCTTTCTGCTCGGCACGCTCACGCTCTTGGAGAGGGGCCTTGGGGCAATCCCCGTTCAAGATCGTAACACCGCAGTGCTTCTGATACAAGTGTTTCAAAGGTGCTGACGGCTGCTGCACGAGTGTTTGCACACGGGGCAGGTGGCTGCATCGCCTATGTACTCGTTGTATGCTTTGCGCTTCTTGTGAGCCGCTGTCTGATGGGAGGAGAGTTTTCGGTGCGTCGGGAAGGACGCACCGCAGACATCACATGCATGCGGCCTAAACGGTGCAGGGCCGCACTTTTCGGGGGGGTCTGCAACAGACTCTACAAAAAACACCCGAGAGATGCGCTCGCCCCATTTGGGGTCGGCCATCTGGCCACGCCACGCGGCTGGCCCAGCAGTCGGATCTGGGAGGGCCCAAAAGAGCGGCACGCAAGATTTCTCACGCGGCCACCGCAGGTCAGACACTATGAGTTTGACCCAAGGGAGTGGTTTGCCATCAACCCTGGAGGCGAGACTCGCAAGAAGCGCTGGCGGGCTGTTGCACATCAAACGCTTCACAT